GCGCTCCGGGCTGGGGGGGTTCGGCGGGGGAACCGATCTCCGAGTTGTGTATCTTGGGGCGCTGCCCCCCCGGGCCGCAAAACCGGACGAGCATCAGAGGTACTCTGGAAACACCACCGTGTCGTGGAGGGGGGTTTGCTTGAGCGGAACTAAGCGCTGCTGGGACTTAGCGGTTAAAATCACCCGTTTTGTGCGGATTTCTTTTTTGACAAAATCATCTGTTGGACAACGTCGAAGGGGAAATAAATCCCACTTGCGACAGGCTATGGTGTAGTCAGCGTTTTGTCTTGGTTGTTTTTGAGTTTGCTGCTGGTGTATTCTTGAGTGAAGTAAGTAAAAATTTGGCAACCCAAGGGGACAGGGTGACAGCAGAAGGGTTGCTCCAGGCGGGAGTAGTTCGCTTGTAACTTCTGCAACATCTTGGAAAAGCTTCAGGCAATTGTAATTAACCTCAAACCCCTCCAAATATTTTGACCGCTTCATTCGAGACTTAAGACCTGCCAGGCTGGGCAGGAAAGAGGACTGATATGTATCCTGACAGTTATTTGATATTATTTTATATGAACGTTTGTTAGAAGGACTGAACACGCTGGTATGCAACAAAAAGTGTGGCTGTAACAGGGAGTTAGAGGACTTGCTGAAAGCCTCCTGAGTGGTGTTTCCTTCGATGTTTAAATAAATATTAAACCTTAAGTTTCAGACTCCTATTTTGTCTTTCGTGTTTGTGCTGCCTGAATCTCAAACTATAGGTTTTTTCCCCCAAAAGCCAAGCTATTTAAGGCTTTCGACATCCAGATTATTTCAAAGCAAGGCAACATTTCTCTTGAAACATTGCCAATCTCCTTGCAGATGAACTAAACCTGACTGAATAGAAATGTAAGTATATAATTGGTGGATTTCCACATTTCATGGGTTCCTGTAAGGCTCCCCCTGCACTTGGCTTCCCCTGCTGCACGTGTTCTGAGGAATATTCCAAAAGCTGGCTGATTTTTAGTTCCAGAAGAAGGGATGAGCAGGGACCCGCTGCTCGAACCCCTCGGCCTCGGCGTTAGTGATGCGTGCGCGGAGGAAGCTCTCGGTGGGAGGAAGCTCTCAGTGGGATTTCTTGAGCGATTTCGGACCCGAGAGGAGGGTCACAAGCCAGCTTCTCTCCGGGCTTTACGTCGGAGCCGTCTTTCCCCGCCCGGGCACGGCGCTGGCCGGGGCTGTCGCCGCTCGCAGGTCCCCACCAGCGGCACAGACGGGGGGGCTCCTTCCCCGCGCTGCACGGCGGCAGCTGCGGCCGCTGTCGCCCTGGGGGGGGACAGGGACTCCTTCTGTTCGTTGCCCTTAAAGAACCCCGGCTCGCCCGTGAGGCGAGCCGCTGACTGTGCCAAGCCGCTGCTCTCCCGGAGTTACCTGCAGAGCGCTTTAAAAGATCCCACCACTCCCTTGGCAGCGAACTTCAGCCTCCGCCCGCTCCCCGGGACAGGGGACGGAGCCTGCGGGGCTGTTGGGACGTAAGGATGGGGCAGGAAGCAGGAGAGGACCCAGCCAGCGCAATAAACGGGGTGAGGGGAACCCCGATGCTTGGAGCCATTTCCTAAATTCCCTGGCCGGCGGAGGCCGGGACTCGGAGAGCCCCCTGTGCCTGGTGGGGGCTGGAGAACACTTGGGGTTCTGTAAATACAGTTGTCAAAGGCTGAGAAGCCCTTTTCTTGTTATTATTTATTTATGTGGGTTACAAAGGAGGGTGAGGCGAGATAAGAAGTTTACAGTACAATCAAACGTGAACGCGAGAGAAAGGAAGGGACCGTCTGCTTTTTACTCAATCAGCGCCTAATAAACAACAGCCATTAACAGCTGTTAATTGCAGCTCCAGAAGAGCTTGTGGGAGTCTTGGTACAGCGGTCAAGGATGATCGCTGGCTTTTAAAGACTAACGCTATGCACGAAATCGGCCCCGTTTAATCCTGTTATTAAAATATCCCCTTGGTCCCTAGCCTAATTCCCGATCAAGATTAGCGAGGACTTGTCCTCGAAATTTGCCCAGACAAGGGAGCTGGGCGCCCCTTTCGTTTGGACCCTGCTGACCCTCGCTAGGACGATCCTCCAGAAATGCCCAGCCTTTCTAGCGATGCTTAAAGATGAAAGTTCGCTTGATGCTTGTTTCAGCTCAAATCCGTACCCTCCGGCAGATTTTTCCAGCGTGGTAAAGTGGTAGCTAGATGGGCCATTTCAGGCTGGTTCCACAGCCCAGGTCGTTAGGATATATATTTTTTTTTAATTATTCCCCACCTAAGTGTCACGTCAAAACTAACAACAACAAAAAAAACCCCCCAAACAAACAACAAAAAATCCCAAAACAAACCAGCTCGAGATTGCCTGCGAGGCTCCTGCCTCCCTCTCCGACGGGCTGACATGGCCGGACCGACCTCCCAGCCCGGTGAGAGGGAGAACAAATCATTAGTTCCGACAAACGAGCTCCAACTCCTTTCTCTAACTTCTGCAGTACCTCGCCTCATGGATGTCGCAGCTGCACCAGCGTCTGCAGCTGTCCCTGCTGCTCACGGATCCGGGAAAGCAGGAGTTACTTGTGATGACATCATTAGAAGTCGCAACATTTAAGAACAAAAATCTTAAGTGCGTGGGTAAACCCGACCAGTGTCTTTTGGGCACAGATCGATTCCTTTGAACTGAGCCTCCCAGTGCGTTTAGGAGGCAGCGGCGAATGTTGTTTTTAATCACTTCTCTTCCCCTTCCCCAGCTGAACTTTTATTTGGCTTCTGACAACAATAGCGGGCTGCAAACAGACCTCTCGGAGCGCCCCCTGAATAGACCCTTTTCGAGCCCGGATTGTTTCCACCGCCACAAAAAAACAACCAGTAGCTCCGTTTCTTAATTGGGTTGTTCCGTGCGCCTCGTGCATTCAGGTGTCGCAGGAATATGTTTTGATTAGTCTTTGACAAACGCTGCCTCCTGCAAGTCGCCTATTGAGCTGGCTTCAGCGGGA